ATGATCATACGAAGACAAGAACAAAATAATAAGGAAAATGGAATTTGAATCATTTAAATAATTTAGAGCTTTCAGCTGTTTGATTTTGTGCATCATTTGAAAATCTCAATTGCGTGCTCTTGCTCTTCTGTCAGCAAATATCTCGTTCCTGATCTACGAAGACAGAACGATAAAGAGAAAAAAAGAAGAAAAATATGACGATAACATCACACTAATAATTCATCTGTTGAATGCAGTAACAGTCCATTATCAAATTAATCAGTCGAAGGCAGAACTGCAAAAATATATCATTTGATGAATTAGTTTTTTTTTTTGAAGATTGTAAATGCCGTAACACAAAAGAACATTAACGACCGCCAGTACGTACACATACATGAGGACGTACAATTGTATCAGGCAAGAGCTGCTATTGTCTTTTATGCATTAATATGACGATGGAACGATTTCAGTGCCACAACGCGGGTCATTATTGGTTCCATCTGAGGAAGTTATCCATAGATCACATTAAACGCTTAGAAAAGTGATGCTGAAAGATGAAATCCAAACTTGCTCTCTTTTAGGGTTCTAAAAGTTGAATCAATTTCTAGTTAGATCAGACTCCAGGTTATGAATCAAAGAAATGATAGGCAAATCACTGATTATAGGCTCTTCTTGAAGTAAAAGTAGTTCGCAACATTTTTTAGTGGAAAATGCTCATAATCGTGGAAAATTTATGTCCTAAAAAAAAGCGAAAACAGAACAATAAAGTATAACACATGAGTTCATCAAACTTGATTTGGATTGTAAATTTTGCACCACAGCAGCCGCTAGTTAAATTTATATAACTCGTCTGATAAATGACTTTGACTTGTTTGATAAAAAGCCACAAGAACAAATTGTATTTATTTGAAACAACGTTAAAGCATTTATATGATTCATTCATTAATCCATTGCGGAAACTTTCAGTAAACTTTCATTCAGGTCAATTCAAACACAAAATTTTTACTTGTGTTGATCAATTTTAAATGTATTTTTCCACGTGCTTTAAGGAAAAATTAATTTGCCTTCTCACAGTGGTAATATATCGAAACAATGTTTTTAAAGGGAAATATTTTTATCTGTGTTCAATGAGTGCTATACAATAATTCAGCGTAAAAAAGTTATTCGAGCTGTTGGCAATAGTCTTTTATTTTATGCACTAAATTTTTGCTAAAATGCAAAAAAAAGGTTTCATTGTAAATTCCGTTCAAAGTTCCTAAACGAATAACGAAGAAATGTTTTGCTCGGAGCGCTGCATATGTGCTTGCATGCCATATGAAGAAAACAATTTTTGCTTCTTTTTAT